GGGTGCTTGTCTCGTCGTTCTCGCTTGGATGTTTGGCTCCTTGGCTTCTTCTCCCAAGACTGGGCTCGGTGGCGTGGGTCGATCAAAAACCCTAACCCTAGCATGTTCATGTTCTTGTTCGATTGTTCTTCATCTTCTTCTTCTCTCGCATCTTCCCGAGTTCTTGTGTTGTGTTCTAATGCTCTTCTTCTTGTGCTCATGTGCTTGCAGTTGGTGCTCGACGCTTTGTCCTCCTCCTCCGGAGGCTCGATGGCAAAGCCGTCCGGTTTGAAGCGCCCGCCCACCGTCGAGGAACGGTCTTTGGAGCTATGGCTAGGGGCTGGAACAGCCTCCCCAACCCCAACCTCCTATGGCCTCGGTGGCGATGCGGTGCTCATGCGGATGAGTACAACCACCGTGCCGACGGCGAGCACCCCGAGGCCGAGGAGGCCGTGGAGGAGTTGGAGATTGAGAACGACGGCGATGGTGGGGTGGACACCTCTCAGTCTCAGGACACCAATGGTGCCTCATCTGGTAAGCTCACTCTTTGCTTGTTGGGAGGACTTCGTCCCGATCTTTGACGAGTCGGGAAGATTAGAACTCATGCCATCTCAGAACGGTGTGGTAAGAAATTTGTTGCTAGGGCCAATATTGGCACTGGATCCTTGAATAGGCACATGGCAACATGTAGGAAGAAGCAGGACAATGATCGTGAGGGTTCATCTAGGCTTTCTATGAATGCTAATGGGTTGCATAAGCGGGTTTATGATCTTCGCTCGTGCTCGTAATGAGTCGTGTCTTGTTGATTGCTAGGTGGATCTTCCATTAGGTGTTGGTGACACACGAGCTGGGAAGATTACATTGAGTAATGCTCATAATCCTCGCTTTCAGAAGATTTCTAGGGAGACCACTACTAGGGACATGCATAAGTTGTTTCTGTCAAGAGCGTGCTTTGCTTATGCATTTTTTGTCACTCACTGTTCATCTGCTTTTCCATAACATCGATATCCGGTCCGTAATGCTAAGGAAGATTATGTCTCTGTTGTTGCTCATTATGTTGGTCTTTGATTGGGAGTTGCATAAAAGGTTATAGGGTTTAGGTTGATTGAGGCAAAGACATCTTTGGTGACAACATTCTTTGAGAAAATTTGTAGTGTGGTTGAGGAGTTTGGTTTGATTGATAAGGTCTTTCTTTGTGAGTCTTGATAATGCTTACGCTAATTCTAAGGCTTTTGATATCTTGCAACCTATGTTGTTTGGCTACCGGCTCTTACCCAACACCTACTAAGGAAGATCCTCACAAAGTCAAGTACTTGCTTGTGCATCGTCATTGTGCATGCCATATCATTAACCCGATTGTTAAGTCCGGCTTGAAGAGGTTCGATCCTTATCTTGAAGCTTTTAGGACTGCAATCAACTTTTTGAATTCATCTAATCAAAGAATTGCATTGTTTAAGAACTATTGCATTGCTAGGGGTGTCGGACCTAGAAAGTTTGGATTGGATATGGATGTTAGGTGGAATTCCACCCATCTCGATGCTTAAACACTTGTCGCCATATAGAGATGTGTTTTCGTGTGGATTGAGTCAAATTATAGTGAGCAATGTTGACTCCTCAAAGACCGGTATGTCATTGATCGAGATTATGAAGTTCCCGGAGATGTTTTATGATGCAACGGTTGCTTTGTCTCGGTGTTTACTATCCAAGCTGCTCCACTTATGATGCATCATATCCTTGACTTTGCCGAGCATTTGCATAAAGTGAACTTGATCCCGGATTTAGAAGTATTGCATCTCCTATGAAACTTAAGTTCCTTAAGTAATGGGGGACATCCCATTGTTGTATTCTTATGCATTCATTCTTGATCCAAGAGCTAAGATGAAAGGCTTCTTTAATGTGCTTGAGTTACTTGCTAAATGATTGGTACCCTTATGGTGTTTACTATGGTGATGTGAAAGAGTCCATGACTAGACATTTTAGCAAGTATGAGCAGAGATATGGTGCATTTCGGTCTCAAAGGCCTCCTATGCCTAGTGCTCCTTCAGGAAAAAAGGAAGCGTGCATGGGGAAAGATCTATGGTGGTCTGGTGCTTCCTCCTCTAGTTGTTCCCCACTTCATCCCTCTACATCTGGTGTCAATGAGTCGATAGCTTACTTGGACAAAGTGATCACATCGCGATTGGGGGAGTCCTTTGACATCTGTTGTGGTGGCGTGACCACAAGGTGACCTACCCCATCTTATCGATAATGGCTCGCGATATCATGTCCATCCTCAGATTATCGTGTGTCCTCCGAGTCTTGTTTCAATTTGCACAAACAAGGATACTTGAAGACCGTGGTGGCGGCGCTTGTTACGAGCATGTGGAGATGCTCACCGCATCAAGGATCCGGGATCAAGAAAGAAGGAAGGAACAAAGATGCACCGAGAGGACACCTTTGGAGGAGCTGTTTCGACAACTTGTACCTGGATGAAGGCGGCGAAGGAAGCGGAAGGCGGCGGTAGCGGTAACGGTAACAAGCAGATTCTTTGGTCTTTGGTCTTTGGATAGAAGAAGAGAACCTCTACAAAAGGAGAGGTAGAGTACAATCAAATTCTAAAACTTGTTCCATTAGCTTGTTCCATTAGCTTGTTTACATTACATCTTCAAGTCCATGACCATCAATCCATCATGATCCATTTTTGCAAAGTTGATTGCACTTTTGGGAGTGGTCGCTGCGGTGATTCACCATGATGAAGCTTGAAGCATGAAGTGATGAAGTAAGGACATTTGTCGCTTCTTGTTGCCACAATGCCCTTTGTTGGGCTTTTGTAATAGGATAGAAGAACATTTTCAGCTGGTCGCCGCTTGCGCGATCGCCACCGATGTTGGCTATTGTAATAGGATGAACTACTTAGACTTGTGCTTGAACTAAGACTTGACTACTTGAGCTAGTTGTACTCTTTTCCTTTCTAGGGTTTCTCACAAGGGTGAGTTTTACCTAGAAAGGTTTTTAATGAGGCAAAGATTGCACAACAACTCTTTTGACTTTTGATAATCATTTTCATTATATCTTCGTTGTTCTCGTTCTTTACTACTTTATAATTACGTGACATGTGATTATTTGAAGTTTTGAACTTAGACTTTGGAATTTTCTCGTTGATTTTGAGTGTTTTTTCGTTGATGGGGGCCGTTTAAGACACATGACGGCCAAAATGGCCGTGGCACATGGGTATGACGCAAGACGGAGAAACGGCCCATGTGCCGTGTCATGGGTCAAGGGCTGGCCCATGGCATGCGGCCAGCACGCAGACGGCCGGCAAGACGGCACGACGCTGCTGCGCACGGGCAGCAGCGATGTTGCCGTGCCAAGACGGCACGGTGCGCGTGCCGCGTGCCGTGTCGGCACGGCACGGTGGCCAACTATACTGACTGGTGCCAGCCATCCCTCTCTGTTCGTGGAGGAGTCTGGTGCGTGGTCCTCCCTGCACTCCCTGTGAGTGCCTCCATCCCCAGGATCCTCTGCGCCAGGTGCAGCCAAGCAGTGGCTGTGCGGGCGCGTGCACCGGCGCAGACGATCCAGGCGCCTAGGGGAGCATGTCAGGTAGGGGCTACTCGGGTTTGTATATGATATTTATATTTGTGAACAATTTGACATATATTTTTCTGATGTCTAGAATTCATAAAAATAATTTATAATTTTTTTAAAAATTTAGCATATATTTGTGTTATTCCTAAATTATATTACTCTGTCTAATAAATTACACTAAAAAGATCACTGTAAATATAGTAATATGATAGTGTAAATATAGTTATATGACAATCTAAGTGCATGAAAAAAATCTAGTTGTTAGAAGGATTAAAAACAACCTACCTAGACGTTTCCAAAATAATATAAACCTCTGTTAATCAGCATCAGTTTTTTAAAGTCCAATTGATTTTAAGATAATGTGTATGTTCGTGTTAGAATTGTATTCTTTGTATAAAAGAGTAAGAAAAGGCAAGGTCTTACTTACTCGTGGTAGGTTTAACGACTGAACATCAATCACACACCCCAACAAACCAACGGTTGCGCAGCAGATTTCCTGGATCATGTCTCCTTATCAGACTATCCTGCAATCCAGGTTCTCTCTTCTCTGGCTCTCTGCGATACACACATGTCCCCAACAGCAGGACCACGGAGGACGTTTCCGTGGCACGCGTGCCTCCACGTCTAGTCACAGTGTCCAGTACAACAGTGTCCTTAAACGGCATCAATGCAGAGTGATGGTGACCTATCTTTGTTGGCCCCGTTCGCTTGTCTTAAATTTGGCTTGTTCGGCTTGTTTTTTCAGCCGGAACAGTGTTTTTCTCTCACAACAATTCAGCCGGAACAGTATTTTTCAGCCAGTTTCAGCCAAAGTTCAGACCAGCGAACGGGGCCGTTGTTGCCTTAATTTTTTTTTCAGAAAGGTTGTTCCTGTCAAAATCACGGTCTAGTTTAATCACTTTATTTATTACTGTAGTTGGTACTGACCATGGTACTTGGCTTGCTTGCTCTGGTTTGTTGGGGATCCTCGCTCAATAAAGCTGTCGTAGCTGTACATGTGTTAGCCGGATCACACTTTGCAACCCCTATCCCTATGGCCTGCTGCCCTGCTTTGTGTTTTTTTATTCCTTTACCTTATTCACCGCGTTCGGCGGGTACACTTTCAGCTTGTTTCAGCTTATTCTTTCTCACAGAACACTATTGAATCATTCAAAACCATCCGAAATTCACTGTGCACTGTACCAGCCGAACACAGTGATTATTACTACTCTATTTAAAATTTCCCCACTTCAGAAGGTAGCTATACTGTTCTGCTGCATTTTGTTTTCAACAAAAATTTTCATCAAGTCAATGAAGAAGCAAAAAAAAAAAAAAGAAGGCTCGTAACGTAATCATCGTGAAGTTTCACGCGTGCTCTTCTCTTTAACATACCGCTACCGGCCGTGATGTGAGCTACGAGGCTATGAATTCGGAGGAAGTGGTCACAGGCAGTAAAGTTTGGTGTCCTCACTCACCGTGTAGCCGGACACGCCCCCGGGGTCCACGAAGGCGGAGGCGTGGAACACGCCGGCGCATCCGTCGAAGGCGCGGTGCAGGCTCTCGGGGTCCATCACGTTGGCCATCACCGTCCACACCCCGTCCCTGCCGTCCTCACCGAACATCTCCATCTCCCGCAGCTTGTCCATGTCCTCTGCCAACAACAGCACGCACGGGACACCCGGTCCATGTCAGACCTCATGTTCAGAAAACCAAATAATTGAAACACTTGACAACACAGCAAAACAAAAAGTTAGATACCAAACCGCTAGAGGACACACGCGTCGCGTGTCAGAGATAGGCTTAGGATTGATCGATCGAGTTCTCCGGATGGCCCCCATTCAGCAAAGGTGTAGGTTGAGGTGAAGCTTTCAGAAACCTAAACCCTCGCCCCTGGTTCACCACGGTACCACTTGGAGTACTCTGTTCATCCTAATGGCTGCCTGCTGCTTTCTTGCAAACAGCATCAAGACTTTTCGTTCATGGTTTAGTCTAGTTGACACCAGCAATCTGTAGCTAGGCGATCGAGGTGACATATCCGATCTACGCACAAATCAGCCAAACAAGCGCAAGCGAACAGGACGAAGATCCGGTTGGACTACCAAAAGCACATGTGACCAATCAATCGCCAAGTTGGGTGGTAGTGCTGTGCTAACAAGAGCACCAGTCAAAAAACTAATCGTCTTGACTAATGCGGTTGACCCCCCAAGTTAAAGGTTTTCTACGGTCGCGTCTCCGTCAGAAAGCATGCGCGCAGCAGCCGTGGAAAATACGGTCTGATCAGACAGTGTTTGATTTGTGGACTACTAACAAATTAGTCAGCCACGAGCATCAACCGTACCGGACGAATCACGTGGAGATTTAGTAGTCCTCGTTTCATCGGTTTCAGGATCTAATTCCAAAGCATCTGGTTGACCAAAAGGTGACACTCATGAGTGCATGGCATTGCGGCTTACGGGTAGACGCTGGCTGTTGTCTAAAACCTATGAAGAACTTTACATATGTTTGGCACTGCTACATTATATACTGCCGATCAGTTTTACCAAGTCAAAGCGCAACTTCCAGCGGACGCGTATGGTTCCGTCTTAGCCGTGCAAGTTGTAAATATCCTATAGAATAGAGTGCCTGCAGATCGATCATAAATTCATCTCGCCCTTCGTCGTGTTTCTTTCGGTCGTTTCAGCAGGTGAGTTGATCGGGTCATTAGGTAAGCAATGGGAAGACTAATACCTATAGTAAACAAACAAAATAGAATACTGCCGCGAAAACTATGTGCTGCAGAGCCCTATGCATACTAGGAAGTGGCTGTCATAATCCATAACTACCATTCGATGTTTTAACAAACAAATGATAAAGGAAAGAGAGAAAAGACAGGCTCTGTTTCATTAGCCTTTAGAAACGGAGCAAGAGGCCATTGTCAGCCAGCAGTCTTCTTCAAACGGGCTGTTCGGTTGGCTGGTTTGTATCGTTGCTGGTTCGTTTATGTGAGAGAGAAGTATTGCTGACTGGTTCAGGTGAACAGTGCTCATGTGAGGGGCTGGGCAGCCCAGCCAGCCCAGCGATCAACACACAAACGGGCTAATAAAAAAAACAAGCGGATAATAGTTCTTATTGTAGGCATGCCTAATAAACACGTGATAAGTTGCGGCGTCAGCCCAAGTGCATTTGGGACAACGCACGGTGCCGCCGCGTGAACACTATTTGATTTGAATTTGATAACCGCCCTCGTGGATTCACATCCAATCCAATCCAATCCAATCAGACGAGAGCGCTCGCTTTGTGGGCTGAGATGTCGCCGGGGATTGGCTGCCGGCCGAGGTGCGCGAGAGATGGCGTGACGACTAACGAGAGCAAATTAACGAGCAGAACCGACTCCACGCGAGCACAATTGGTGCGGAAAACGTCACTACGCAAACCCGACGGGCCCACGTGGCAGCGGCTCCAAAGGCCAGAAGAAGGCACAACCGCACAAACGGCAGCGAGCGAGAGAAGCAGCCGGGTAGGTTCCGAGGTATAGTGGGGGAGGACGGGCGGCTGATGCTGACCTTGCGTCTCCAGCGCGAGGCGGACGGTGTAGCCGTGCCGGAGGAGGCGGTCGACGACGGCGAAGCCGACGAAGGAGATGCCGCCCGTGACGCACACGGCGCGCGCCGCGGCCCCGCCGGCGTCGCCCCCGGGGGCGCGCTTGGCGTCCGCGTGGCCCCGGCCCGCCGAGCGGCGCCACCCGCCCGCGGCCTCATGCCCGCCGCCGGCCAGGAGCGCGGCGCGCAGCTCGTCCACCTCCGCCTGAAGGCTCTGCGTGCTCCGGAGGACGCCCATGCCGGGCGCCGGGGTGGGCGGGCCCGGGTCCCTGCTCCCGCGCTGCTGCTGCGGTAGTGGTGGCACGTGCCTCTGCGCGCGCGCGCGCCTGCCGATCCCCTCCGGGCTCTGGCACTCTGCCGCGCTCTCGGTGGCCTGGTGTTGGTGGAGCGGTTCGCGAGTGTTTTCACGACGAGTGGGGTGGGTGCGCGCAGGCGGGGACGTGGATAAATAGCCACATAAGTGACCCTTCCCTGTCATATCCAACATGTTCGGTTGGCTGGCGGGTTCGTATTATTCTTTGGATACTCTTAGCTGATTTATATGAATAATATTCATGTGAGGGGCTGATCAGCTCAATTTAATCAGCCAAACCTCACCGATCATGTTGATTGAATGTGTAGACACACGTATAGAGTATTAAATATAGGTGTGTTTCATTGGTCGGGTTTCAGAACCGGTGGCTTATTCTCCTCACAAATGCATTATTCATCAACCACCGCTATAATATTTTCTTCTCACACAACCAAAATGCCGCTACAGTGTTTTGACTTTTTTTTTTCAGACAAGCGAACAGGGGTCATAGACTAATTACGAAACTAATTACACAACTTGCGATTAATTTACGAGACGAATCTTAAGTCTAATTAATCCATGATTTGACAACATATTGCTACAGTACATGTGCTAATGACAGATTAATTAGGCTTAAAAATCGTCTCCCAGATTAACCTACTTATATGTAATTGGTTTTGTAATTAATCTATATTTAATACTCTTTATTAATATCTTAATATTTGATGTGACATCAACTAAGTAAAAAAAAGATAAATTTTAGGAGCGACTGACAACACCCCGGCATTTCTCCCGCCGCCGGCCACCCCCATCATCGCGCTCGCCAGCGGCGACAGCATGTGCCTCCTCCTCTCATATCTCCTCGAAGGGTGCTGTCTCCGCCCAGCACTGTCTCCAGAGCCTCCGTCGTCCTTCCTGACTCTATCCCTCAAGTACACGCGCAGCGCATGGAACCGCAGATCTGCGGATGACCCGGCGGAGGCTGCGCACCCAGCAACGCCCGAAGGTGGCAGCCGCCGTCCACGAGCGCCACCATGGGCCCATGAGGAGGTAGATGGGCGCGCGCCGGCGGCGACGACCTTGCCCCGTGCAGATTCAGCTTGGCACATTCAATCTAGAATCAAAATCGGGAGCGGATTCCCTAGGTTCTCCGACTCCGGGAAACGGCACGCCTGCTGCCGAGGCGAGCTTCTCCGGGGCGGCGGGTGACGCGAGGGGCCGAGGGCTTCCAAGAGGCGGGGATGCAGTTCGGCGAGGAGGAGATGCGAGATGACTCGTGGGGCAACGGTGCCGACCACAGCCGCAGGCGTGCAGCGGCACTGCCGCCGACGAGGTGCTGTCGGCTCTTACGGCGCTCACCCGAATACGTGCACCGCGCTCCTCAACGGCTGCTGCAAGAGCAACGACCCAACGGAGGCCCGGAGAGTATTCGACGTAATGCCGCGCCTAGGCCTGGCCCCGGCCCCTAGCGAGATCACGTACACCGCTCTGTTCCACGTCTGCTTTGTCGTTCATGGGCACACGGAGATGGGGTTTGCCTTGTTTGAGGAGATGAGGAGAGGTGGATTTGAGTCGAACCTCTACGCCTACCACTGCTTGATCAGGGGGTGGTGCGGGACTGGGAGTTCGAGCGCGCGTCTCTTGTTGGACCAAATGCTGGTTAAGGGTCGTTTTAGGCAGTGTTTTCAGCTGTAAGCTGAAGGATGCGGTACATCTGAAAGATGCCAGGAAGAGGAACCTACTGTCAATGGACTTGAAGGGTTGAAAGGTGTCAAGCCCAACAATGATATGTGATAGGATGATCTATGGCTATGGGGCTGGATGGGAGCTCGTATAAAGCTCTGAAGCTGATCATGGAAATGAGGAAGAGTGGCTTGGTTCCAAACGTTGCTAGCTATGGTCTGTCTTCTCGGCAATGAAGGGAAGTGGCAGGATGCTGAGGCTTTGATGGACGATATGGAGCGTGCTTGGTCGGCAAAATTATGCTTTTCTATTTGTGCTGTTAGTGTAGGCTGGTTCAGACACCGGCACATTGCTTAGCGTTGTGCTCCGGTTTAACATTAGATTCTTGCCCATGCCAAGTTCTTTGTTTGATTTGGCAGTTAGGAGTTCAGGAAAAGTAGTGTTACCAGTGTGTCTTTGTTTGATCCCCAGAAAGAAGTTTCAGTTTGTGCACGGCTGTGGCCGTCAGAGAGCCACTTGTGCACTTCAAGCGCCGTGATTCCAGGAAGTAGAAACATCGATCATGCTACGTTAATCTTTCCCAACTTCCGCAGCAACGCGCGGGCCTTCTTTCTAGTTAACTTTAATTTGGCTATCAAGTATCGACATAAAAACAGCTGTGTATGTAGATTGACAATCTAAGATAGATGTTATTAGATTTAACATGAAAAATACTTTTAAAATATTCAATTATTTTTCTTTTGAAATGTCATATCTTTTTATAGAAACCATTGATCAAATATATATAAAAAAATCGACAATGAACTGTATTTTGGAACAGACGAAGCGGATTTTAATAATTTGGTACCTGTGGCAAGCGCCATGTCGTCGCAGCAGTTTCTCGAGCACGTTCATGAAGAAGCGCGCGCTCCATGTTGATGCCGTCGATGAGGATCATGTTGGCAATGTGGAACTGCTCTAGCATCCTGGAGATCCGTACTGCCATGGCGTCGATCGAACTTCCTGGCCTGGGACGAGGTCCAGCACGCAGCTGGCCCAATTCGTCGGATATTCTTTGTTGCTGATGCCATCATCATCTGCCGGTCCCCTATCCACCATCCATTTATCTTCAAGATTCGTGCTGTTTCCATCATCCACCATCCACCACCATCCACCATCCATCATCCAACGGGCGCCTGAGACCACCATCCACCATCCGGACGCCGGCAGCTGATGCTGCCAGTAAAAAATCCACGTCGTCCAATTCGTGCCATTCTTATGTTCCCCGTTTCAATGCCTTGGCTATTTTATACTCTCTGCTGCTGGGACATTGGGGGTGATGCTGTTCTGTTCTGAAACATGGGCAGAACAAACCTCGTTCCTGTTCTGCTGCCAACGGACGCTAGACCAGCTAGTCAAGCGTTTCCAGCGGCGTCTTCAGGTCCTGAGTTCGAACTTCAGGAGGAGCGAATTTCAGCACGAGGGTAAAAAAATCCCCTCGTTCGCCCTAGCCCAAAGCACAGGTTAAGAGATGGCCCATCTCATGGGCTACTGGCTCCATGTGTACGGGTGGGGTGAGAGTTCGGGAATTTTCTCGGTCTACGTGAGAAAACCTTCTTAACGAAAAAAAACCTGAGGGGCGGTCATGCCCCTCGTAGACCGAGTTTTTTTTTTCGTTCCTGTTCTGCTTCGTCGCCCTCGCCGCCTCCATGATCGAAATCCCACCACCACGGCCTCTGTGACAGCCGGGTGTCACGAGTTGATGATGTCTCTTCCGATCCTCCTGCTCGGCTCCTGGGCATACTCAGTACTGCCGACATCCTTCCTCGCTGCATCACGTCGATCAGATGGATCCTCAACTCTCTGCAGGTTAATTTCATCAAATTACTAATGTGATATTTATGTATGTTTTGAGTTAGCGTATGTGCAAACTACCCTTGTGTGACGCCCAGGCCATGATTATCAATTCAAGCACCGTTTTTGCCTTTTCACTTCGGTTGACATATTATATTGTCACTGACTTGGTGAGTGTTGCTTTGGTCAAGCGCCCTCCCCTGATATAGGTGGGCTCAGCTCCTCCCTCTCGCTCTGAGAGCAACTACAATTCAATACATACTCATCGTTCGTGTGTATGGTCGAGAACATTGAAAATTATCAAGCTCCGATGAAATATATAACCAGTGTAGTTTAATTAATCATCATGTGTATGGTTGAGAGCTTTGACAACTGAGGCTCGGATGACATATATAATAACCACCGTAGTGTAATTAATGACCGTTCATATGTATGGTCCATAACTTTGAATTCTCATCAGTCGCACCCTTTCTACATGTTTGTAAACAATGGTCACATCTTTGTACATTGGCTGTCAGTCATTGGATGGGTTACTATTCGTCAGCAGCTGACATAGTGCTGCGATATATATTTTGAGAAGCTTCTTCGCCTAAACTTCCTTTGAAAAAACGTCAGTTACGTTGCCAGTTGGATAAATAAAAAAACCAATAGGGTGGATGAGGCAGCAGGTTCGGGAGATCGATTACATATATAGGACGACCTGAAAGATGCACTGCATCGAGGGACAAATATTTTATTCGCGCTCTCGTTGAGTTGTCGGGATGACGACGGTGATGACAAGGTAGGTTAGGCTCCGCTCCAAAGTAATCCGGCCTCATCCCTTTGGTTCGGAGATGCTGTTGATTTTTTAAAAATATAAATTTGGCTACTTTTTTCTTATTAATTAGCTCTTCTCTTTAAAGGTAAAATTTCTATATGCCATGGTTTCTGATGAAACTACTGACTCAAACATCGAGCATGCGCTTCTCTAGCTATTTGCTTGTGCTTCTACTATACCGCCGTGCTGCACGCAGCCTTGTGAGTGCGTCGGTTTAGATAGGTTACATGTACTGATGTACAGCAGCCATCCTAGACTTGCTGTGACGTATTCAGCTCCATCACTAGGGACCGGGGAGACAAAGTAGGAGAGTATATTTTCGGTCGGAGAATAATTTATTCTACATCCATCCAAATTTACTATCATGGGTGCACTGATTTACGATACAGTTACGATAAATTATGAGCACATTTATGACGGGACGGTAGTAAATCACCAATAGTGCTATAAAATTGAGTTAAAAGTTACGTCATTAAACACAAAGATTTTACGACACCACTATTGTTTATTTACTACCGTCTAACCGTAAATGTGATGATGATTTATCGTAACTCCTGCATCGTAAATACGTGTTTACCGTGTCGTAAATCAATGCAACCATGATAGTAAATTT